CCCTGGGACACCCATCCATGGCCCTGGGACACCCATCCAAGGCCCTGGGACACCCATCCATGGCCCTGGGACACCCATCCAAGGCCCTGGGACACCCATCCATGGCCCTGGGACGCCCATCCAAGGCCCTGGGACACCCATCCATGGCCCTGGGACGCCCATCCAAGGCCCTGGGACACCCATCCATGGCCCTGGGATGCCCATCCAAGGCCCTGGGACACCCATCCATGGCCCTGGGACGCCCATCCAAGGCCCTGGGACACCCATCCATGGCCCTGGGACACCCATCCATGGCCCTGGGATGCCCATCCATGGCCCTGGGACACCCATCCATGGCCCTGGAATGCCCATCCAAGGCCCTGGGACACTCTCCCATTTCATCCCCCTGCCCTGTGGGCTCAGCTCCCTTCCTCTAAGCCCAGCTTGCTCCAAGGGTGCCCAGCTGGCCCAGCAGCACCGTGGCACAAAGCCCTTTGCCATTTCTGCTGGTCCCGACTCCAAAACTGCTCTTTCACAGCCCCACTCTGTGAAACCCTGGGCATTGTTACCAAATTTCCCCATCCAGCAGTGAAAGCTGGGGCACAGCTGAGCTGGATCCATGAAAACACCAGGCACGGTGCCTTATTTCAGTTTTAAGCTCAGACTGGCCACGGGCAAAGATCAACCTCCTGGGAAAGCAAATGTTTCAAAGAAAATTTGCTTTTTTTAGAAGCAGAGAGAACTAGTAAACTTTCCATACAGGGCTTCATCCTTTTAAAGGGAACTTCTTTGGAAGCAAGGCACAATGACAATTGCTGGACTGAGCACACCAGTGTCTCTTCACCCTCCATCCCCAGCCAGCATCCCCTGTCCCCAGGCTGCTCCAGCTCCTGCAGGGATGACACCCTTTCCCTTGGACACCCTTCTAACCCAAAAGCCGTGTATTTCCCATCCTGAACCCAACCAGAGATTTGGGCTCTCACTCCATTTGCCCCATGAGGACAGAGAGGGTCTCAGGGTTCAGGACCTGAGCTGGAGAATTCAGAGTGGTTTTCCCCATCCTGGCACTGCTCAAGGCAGGGGTGGACAGGGCTTGGAGCAGCCTGGGACAGTGGAAGGTGTCCCTGCCATGGCAGGGGTGGATGAGATGGACTTTCACCCTTCCAACCCAAACCATTCCACGACTGCCATTAACGCGCTAAGAGAGAGATCAGATCCAGCATTTTAAGAGAACAGCTCACAGCACCCAGCTTTGCTCAAAGCCACCCTCATTCCCACAGTGCCAGAGGGACCAGAACAGCCCCTGAGGCAGCCAAGGCTCGGCTGTGCCATCCCCCGAGGTGTGCCATTGTCCGAAGGTGTGCCATCCCCCGGGCTGTGCCATCCTCCCGAGGTGTGCCATCCCCTGGGGCTGTGCCATCCCCCCGAGGTGTGCCATCCCCCCGGGCTGTGCCATCGTCCGCAGGCCATCCCCTGGGCCATGCCATCCCCCGGGCTGTGCCATCCCCCCGGGCTGTGCCATCCCCCGAGGTGTGCCATCCCCAAGGTGTGCCATCCCCGAGGTCTGCCATCCCCCCGAGGTGTGCCATCCCCGGGGTGTGCCATCCCCCTGAGGTGTGCCATCTTCCCGAGGTGTGCCATCCCCCGAGGTGTGCCATCCCCCCGAGGTGTGCCATCATCCCGGGCCGTGCCATCCCCTGGGCCATGCCATCCCCCGGGCTGTGCCAGCCCCCAGGTTGTGCCATCCCCTGGGCTGTGCCAGCCCCCAGGTTGTGCCATCCCCTGGGCTGTGCCATCCCCCGGGCTGTGCCATCCCCGAGGTGTGCCATCCCCGAGGTGTGCCATCGTCCGAAGGTGTGCCATCCCCCCGGGCTGTGCCATCCCCCGGGCTGTGCCATCCCCGAGGTGTGCCATCCCCCGGGCTGTGCCATCCCCGAGGTGTGCCATCCCCCGAGGTGTGCCATCCCCCTGGGGTGTGCCATCCCCCCGAGGTGTGCCATCCCCGAGGTGTGCCATCCCCCGAGGTGTGCCATCCCCCGGGCTGTGCCATCCCCCCGGGCTGTGCCATCCCCCGAGGTGTGCCATCCCCCGAGGTGTGCCATCCCCCCGGGCCGTGCCGGGCGTGTCTCGGCTCTCGGTGTCCCAGCCCCGTACCTGTAGCTCATGGTGCCGCTCTGGCGGGCGCTGGCGCTGGCGCCCAGCCCGTGCAGCTGCAGGAACCTCTCCAGCTGTTTGCCCTGGCTGCGGGGGCTGCGGGGTCGGGGCCAGCCGGGGGCAGCGCTCCGAGCCCGGGGGGTCTCGCCCGCCCTCCGCCCGCCCGCCCGGGGCCGGGGCATGTCGGCACACGCCGCCTTGTACAGGTGCATGCTGCCCACCGGGACCACCGGGACCACCGGGACCGCCGGGACCGCCGGCACACCGGGAGCGCCGGCACCACCGGGACCTCCGGCACCACCGGGAGCACCGGCACCACCGGGAGCACCGGGACCTCCCGCTCAGCCGCTGCCCGCAGCTGAACCCGCCGGGATCGCAGAGCTGGGCAGCGCTGCTGCCGCCCCGGACATTCCTCAGCCAGCCCCTTTGGTGATCTTGGCCGAAGCCCACCCTGGGCATCACCAGCGTGGCTCGTCTGCTGAGCCCTCTCCTGGCCCGGCTCTCCCAGGGGTGAGGAATGCTGGTGGGAATACAGCGCTGACCCCGTTTCCCAGGTCTTATATTTAGATAATGGGAAATATTTGCTTGGGATTCAACCCAAGGCCAATAAACACACAGCAAGTGCTCTCCCAGGGGGTATTTCAGGCCCTGGGCTGAGCAGATGAACTCTGCAGGCATCTCCTCTGCAGCTCAGGGGAACATCTTGTTCTGTCACAGTGCAGGGAGAGCTCTCCCAGCTGGGGTTACCTGCTCTGGGAACATCTCCAGCATCTGCAGCCTCCCGCGGTGTGACAATTCTTATGAACTAAACGATGATGTTAACGAGGATTTCACCACTGCTGAGCTGCAGACACAAAAGGTTCTGGTTCACAGAGCCACAGAATGGTTTGGGTTGGAAAGGACTTTAAAAACCATCTCATTGCAAACTCCCCTGCCATGGCAGGGACACCTCCCACTGTCCCAGGCTGCTCCAAGGCCGGCCCTGACCCTAGCCTTGAACAATCCAGGGAGGGTTTTATGGTCTCCATCCCAGAAGGGCCACAGTGACCTTTTCTGGTCACAGCAGACAATCCTGCCAAGGCCTGGTTCATGCCACTGAGGCAGATGTCTGAGACTCTTCTATTTTAAAAACTCACCCCATTTCAGCCCCAAATACATTAGAAAAATAAGTTAAATAATCAAGTGATGGATGTATCATGAACTCAACTAATCCTTAAATCTTTCAAAGCAGATAAAGAAAGACTGATCCCAACCCCAGAATACATTTGAAAAGCTCATAATTCAATGTCACAGAGGGGAGTTTGGCAGGAACAGTGGGATTACCCGGTTTTTCTTCTTGTGTGACTGTCACACCAGGGCATGGGTGGCCCTGGGTGTCCCCAGGTCCTGCCCAAGGGTGGGGGTCCTGTTCTCACAGTGCTGAGCCCATGGGGGGTGCAGGGGGGATCTCAAGCCAGCTCTTTGCAGCTCAAGGACACTCAAGGGAGGGCAGGGTGTCCCAGGGCTGTCCCTGCTGTGTCCCCAAGGCTGTCCCTGCCCTGTTCCCCGTGTTTCCTCCCTGCAGTTTAACTCCAGGGCTGTACCTGTGATCTCTGCTGCAGCTGCTGCCTTTGGTTTTACCACCTGCCAGTCCCAGCTCATCTATAATGCAAGGTGAACCAGGGCTGAGAAATATCTCTGCAAGCTCCTCTGAGTTTTCTGGACGCAAGGGCTGTGCTGGTTTGGAGGATCAGGGCTTGTATGGACCAGCATTTTTAGAAACTTCTCTCTCCCAGGAGTTATTCCCCAGCCCTTGGTTTTTACGGTGCTGTGGGAGCCCCTGGGTGCCAGCCACAGGCCAGGGGGGCTGGGGGGCACCGGGCCCAGAATCTGCCCCCTCCCAGCCCCAGACCCCTCGTGCTCCCCTCGGGTGCTCATGAACACTCCTGCATCAACACCCACTTGCTCCTTCTCTCAGTTTTACTTCCTTTTCCTTTCACTTATCCCCTTCCTAATTTTTATCGTTGTGGCATTCTAACTCATTTCTCACCCAAGCACATCTGTGAGAGCTCTGTTTGTGCTGGGCACCGCAGGCACCCCCATCCTGCCGGGGACTGGGGAAGGTCTCGGCCGATTCTCAGCAGGAACCCTGGCTACCACCGAAGGGAAGGGGAAGGAATGCCCCCAGGGGAGGAGGAGGAGGAATCCCCGGGGAGGAGGAGGAAGCCTCCCCTCCCCGCGGTCCCGGAGCTGCCCCGGGCGCTCCCGGCTCGCTCCCGGGCCGTTCCTGCTGCGGTTCCGATTTCAGTGAGGGTCTGACCCCGCACAGGAGATTAGAGACTCGCACGTCTAATTTCCACTAATACCAAGATCCCCTTATATTTTTTTAAAGGAGCAGATCAGATTCGGGAGGCTGAGACATTTAAGACCGATGGGATGAGAGATGCAGCCACTGCAGGTTCCTCCTCCCGGGGGCTCCTTCCCAGGCTGAGCCCCCGGGCAGGGAGGGGGGACAGGGACCCACACGGTCCCTTCTCGACAGCAGCAACTTTCTGCTCTATTCAAAACACAAACGAAACCACTGGGCAAATTAGAAACAAGGCTCAACAACCACACGCAGCTCGTGCTGGAGAAGTTCTGGCTATCAACAGACAAGTTTGCAGGATATTCATCTCTGTAAAGCACGCATTACCAGAAAAATCAGACTTAACAAAGCCAAGACCTTTCTACTAATCAGACAAAGCCAAAGACCTTTCTACTATCACTACCATCGCTGTGATTAGTATCGTCGCTATTGCTATTATTATTATTATTATTATTATTATTATTATTATTATGGCCACGATGGCGCCGGCCAGCAGCACGGAGGGCGGCGGGCAGGGACGTACCTGTGGGGCATGCCGGTGGTGTAGGCGATGGTGAACTCGTGGGACAGCTCGCACACCCGCAGGTACCAGTTCATCTCCAGCTCCCGCAGCAGCGCCAGGCGCCGCGCCCGCTGCTGGGGCTGCCCGGCCCGGGCTCGGCCCTCCTTGCTGCCCTCGGCCGAGCTCTTCAGGGCTCTGTCCCGGCTGCCCAGGGACAGCACCGACTGCTTCCTCAGCTTCAGGGACTCGTCGGCGCTCTTGCCGCCCACGGTCCCGGTGCGTGCCGCCAGCATTCCGCCGCGAGAGCGCTCAGCCTCGAATCATCCGAAGCGACTGCGGCGCTCCTTCTCCCTCTGGAGCCGCACGCCGGCCTCAAAGCTGTAATTAGAGACGTGGCTGCGGGGCTTAACCGGGAAGAAGAGCCGCAACCTTCTCATGGAACCATCTGTAGCGGCCGCGGCGTGCCGGCGGCTCCGCAGCGGGGCCGGGGGACGGTCCCCAAAAACATCACGCCGGGCACAGCCCCGCGCCCCTGCTGGCCTCGGACCGGCGAGGGCTGGACGCTTCTGGAAAGCCCGTGCGCTGGCCAGAGCCGTAAACATCGGAGGTGAAGTCACACGTGTCACCTTGAGGGCCAGCCCTGCCCACGTGGCTGGCCCGGGCAGCTTGCAGCGCGCTCCGTGCCGGCCCCGAGCATCCCCATCGCTGCCCCCCTCCTCCTCCTCCTCCTCCTCCTCCTGCTGCTGCAGCTCCTCGGGTCGCCCCATCCAGCAGCAGCTTCCATTCCCAAGGGATCTGCAGGAATTTGGGGATTTGGTCCCCCTTAGGATGAGAACAAAGTTCCGAGCGCTGCCGAGCAAGCGGCGTCTGTTGAACGCATGAAAGGGCGGGCACGGGAATCGCATTAATTCCCATCTCCGGTCGGAAATGTAAAAGCCGGCACGGAGATTACAGCTCTAATCACAGCAGCCACTTCGGGAGCACGGGCACAGCCGTGTGCGAGAGACAAACCCCTGTGAGGCGGCGGGGTTTGGAAGGCACAGCCCCCGAGGTGCTGTAACCACCCCAAAGCAGGGCCGGCACCCCCGCAGGGTTCCAGGGATGGATGGAAGGTTCCTGCCATGGGGCAAAGGGAGCTCGGGGGGTCCCTGGTGCGGTGCCCACCCCCAGCAGGTCTGGCACCAGCTCGGGATGGTTTCACCCCCCCCCCGAGCCGCGCAGATCCCGAGCCTGGAGGCTCCCCAGCCTCTTCCCAACATCCATCCCAGGGCTCCAGGCTGTGCCGGGGCCCTGCCTGACCCCCAGCCCCTCCCAGGAGGGTTTGGATCCTCACCTCGCTCTGTCCCTGCCCTCCAGCACTCCCGGCTGTGCCGGGTCCCCTCCCAGCCCGGTGGGACCTGCTGGGCTCCCACCACCCCCCAGGACCCCCTGGGCCAGCCCCGGTGCAGGTGAGGGGTGCTGGGAGCCCGGCAGAGGCACACACAGTGGTGCCAGAGGTGTTACAGGACAAAACCCCCCTTTTTGGCTGCTTTTGCAGAAAGCAGTTCCATCACCTTTTGGAATAAGTCCTACAAAATGTACCTCCAACAAGAACTGGTGCTACCCAACCTATTCAGCAGACGTGGCACTGAAACATTCACTGGGGAAGCTTTGCAAAACTCTGGAAAAACGACTCAAACTTTGAGCTGTAAGACATTCCGGTTCTACGCCTGACCCAACGTGTTTACCCTTAAAGTGCTTCACAGAAAGGAGAAGGTTCCCAGCAGAAGCCTTTACACCAACCCTGAGCAGCGAAGCAACGCTTCCATCGCACTACACAAGCTGAAGGCTCAGGAGATCCTTCAGGTGCTCCCATGTGGCAGCTGGTCACCCAAAGCCACAGCTGGTCACCCAAAGCCACAGCTGGTCACCCATAGCCACAGTTGGTCACCCATAGCCACAGCTGGTCGCCCAAAGCCACAGTTGGTCACCCAAAGCCACAGCTGGTCACCAAAGCCACAGTTGGTCACCCATAGCCACAGCTGGTCGCCCAAAGCCACAGCTGGTCACCCAAAGCCACAGCTGGTCGCCCAAAGCCCACAAAGCTCCCAAAGGGCTGCACAAAGGCACGCCGTGCTTCCCCAGCCTGCCGTGTCCGTAACTCTGCTAAGCACAGGAGCAGCCGCCGCTGCCAGGGCCGTCGCTCAGCGCCCAGGCGAGGAGCCCAGCGCGGCTGCCGCCGTTCGTCGCTCCCGGGGCGGCACCGCCGCGGTGTCGGGGCCGCCGTGCTCGCGGAGCGGCGCTCGGTGTCGGGCGGTAAGCGGAGCCCCGCTGGCCTCATAAAAGTTGCAGGACGATTGATTTCCTGAAAGCAAAGCTGCCCCGGAGTGTCGACGCTGGAAGCCTCGGTTCCACAAACCCTCCCAAAGCCCTCCCGTGGCACAGCACCAGGCTGTGATGCTCCCGGGAAAAACACTTCACCCTGATCCCTGCTAGGGTGGGGGCTCCTCCTGCCTTCTCTGTTCCTCCTATATTCTTTCTATATTCCTTTTATAGTCCATTTGTATTCCTTCTATATTCCTTTTACATCCCTTCTGTATTCCTTTGATGTCCCTTCTAGACTCCTTTTATATTCCTTCTACATTTCTTTTACATTCCTTCCATATTCCTTCTATATCCCTTTTATATCCCTTCAATATTCCTTTTATGTCCCTTCTATATTCCTTTTATGTCCCTTTTATATTCCTTTTATGTCTCTTCTATATTCCTTTTATGTCCCTTCTATATTCCTTTTATGTCCCTTCTTCTAGGCAATAATCTGTTAATGTATAATATAATTATGCATTTGTAACTTGCCTGTACACTGTATAAATGTCCAGAATCGTGTTTAGGAGCTCTCCACCTGTAGTTCATTATGAATTATAAGTGATGATTATATTACTTAGATGATATTATAGAAATTCTATTTATTAATAAATTACGCCAGGGTTTGAAAATTTGTCTTTCTCTTAAAATGCTTTCTAAAATCAGATTTTCATTCCAGCTGCAGTCCCCAGAGGTGGACACAGGAAATGGGAACCATCTCCTGCTGAGGGGTGTCCCAGGGCTCCCCTGTCCCTGTGCCCTGCATCCACAGGGAATCCACCACAATCCCAGCTCCTGGAGCCAAGGGAGGCCCCGCGGGGTGCAGAGGGACGTGCTCGCGGAGCGGCGCTCGGTGTCGGGCGGTAAGCGGAGCCCCGCTGGCCTCATAAAAGTTGCAGGACGATTGATTTCCTGAAAGCAAAGCTGCCCCGGAGTGTCGACGCTGGAAGCCTCGGTTCCACAAACCCTCCCAAAGCCCTCCCGTGGCACAGCACCAGGCTGTGATGCTCCCGGGAAAAACACTTCACCCTGATCCCTGCTAGGGTGGGGGCTCCTCCTGCCTTCTCTGTTCCTCCTATATTCTTTCTATATTCCTTTTATAGTCCATTTGTATTCCTTCTATATTCCTTTTACATCCCTTCTGTATTCCTTTGATGTCCCTTCTAGACTCCTTTTATATTCCTTCTACATTTCTTTTACATTCCTTCCATATTCCTTCTATATCCCTTTTATATCCCTTCAATATTCCTTTTATGTCCCTTCTATATTCCTTTTATGTCCCTTCTATATTCCTTTTATGTTCCTTCTATATTCCTTTTATGTCCCTTCTTCTAGGCAATAATCTGTTAATGTATAATATAATTATGCATTTGTAACTTGCCTGTACACTGTATAAATGTCCAGAATCGTGTTTAGGAGCTCTCCACCTGTAGTTCATTATGAATTATAAGTGATGATTATATTACTTAGATGATATTATAGAAATTCTATTTATTAATAAATTACGCCAGGGTTTGAAAATTTGTCTTTCTCTTCTTAAAACGCTTTCTAAAATCAGATTTTCATTCCAGCTGCAGTCCCCAGAGGTGGACACAGGAAATGGGAACCATCTCCTGCTGAGGGGTGTCCCAGGGCTCCCCTGTCCCTGTGCCCTGCATCCACAGGGAATCCACCAAAATCCCAGCTCCTGGAGCCAAGGGAGGCCCCGCGGGGTGCAGAGGGACAGAACAGCCCTAAAAAACTTTAACCCCCCAGTGCTGCTTGTGGCTTCAAAGCAGAACACTTCAGTGACAGCCAGCCTGCAGCCCCAGGATCAGAGCTCGGCTTTAATCCATTTTCCTCTGGCTCAGGCACCCTTTTAGCCAAACCTCCTCTTTTCAGATGTAAACAGGAGAAGCTTCTAAACCCCCTGCAGCAGCTGTTTTCTGCTCGGGGGAGCAGGAGGATGAGTAAATGCACTGCACACGGGGCCCCTCTAAAGCTGCTTTGAAAATCTCCTGAGCACTTTTCCAGCTGGATTTGCCATTCCAGTGGCACCTCTGCGGTGGCCAGTGTGTGACCCCACAATGTCACACAAGGACATCCTGACCACAAACTTATTTTGATAGAATGAAGGAATGGTTTGTGTTGAAGGGACCTTAAATCCCACCCAGTGCCTCCCCAGGGACACCTCCCCCTGTCCCAGGTGCTCCAGCCCCAGTGTCCAGCCTGGCCTTGGGCACTGCCAGGGATCCAGGGGCAGCCACAGCCGCTCTGGAATTCCATCCCAGGCAGGAATTCCCAATTCCCAAGCTCCCATCCATGCCTGCCCTCTGGCAGTGGGCGCCATTCCCTGTGTCCTGTCCCTCCATCCTTGTTCCCAGTCCCTCCCCAGCTCTCCTGGAGCCTTCTCCTCTCCAGGTGAGTCCCCCCAGCTCTCCCAGCCCATCTGTGCCTCATTCCAGAGTAAAGGAATGCAGGACACACAGCTGAGCCTGCAATTCTCCAGTAATCCCAGCAAAACACAGTGACAGCTCACCCTCCCTTAAAGTGATCTCAAAATCCCCCCGTGCCCTGCAGATCCACAGCAGCTCCCAGGATCTGCACACCCAGAGCTGGGAGCCAGGCAGAGCAGCAGCCCAGCACCTGCAGGGTCCTGCTCAGGGATTCCAGCAGAACACCTCGAGCCTTGCCCAGGTACAGACTGATTTGGGATGTTATCCCTGAGCAAACAAAGTCTGGTCCCACGGGAGCAGAGCCATTCCCACCCCCTGGTCCAATTAACCACGGAGCACAGCTCTTCCCAGCCCTCCTCTGCTCCAGGTAACTGAACCCCCCCGGAAAGGTTCATTAAGGGGTTTAATTGGGGTGAAGCAGCTCACCCTGCTGTGGCAGCACTCAGATGCTGTGGGTATGACTCTGCCTGGGCAGCAGCTGTGTGCCAGGGCAGCCCCAGAGCTGCTGAGGGGCTCAGGGGATGCACCCGTGGGGCAGCAGCACTCAGCCTCCCCAGACCCCTCTGGGAAAGGCTGTGAGCTCAGAGAAAAGGATGAGAAACAATTCTTATCTAACTGACTGCACCTGCTGCTGTGAACATGTGGAATTGTCACGGAGATTTGTTTACCAAAGAGTGGTTTCTTCATTAGCCAATGGCAACAGTGTTATCATTGAAGGAGCAATTAGGTGTCATAACTGTCTGTAAAAGCAATGAGCTTCTTAATAATGATATACATAATGAA